ATATATATATATATATATATATATATATATATATATATATTTGCAGAAGTGGTATTTTTAGTTTAAGCTAGGTAATAGTGCGTTAATTGTTATTTTCACTGTGCCACTGAAAGTGTGGCCAGAGGCTGAAAAAGTTCTACTTCTTTACAAATAATAATAAGAAGAAGAAAGAAGAAGAAAGGTTATGTTATGGCATCACTATACAATAACAACATGTGTGTTCTGCATTTAACCCATCACACATGGGATACACCCAGGTGGAACAGTGGGCAGCAATGTAAGCACCCACGGAGCAGTTAAAGCTCGTGTCTTGCTCAAGGACACCACAATATGTGGGCACGGCGGGGAGTTGAACTTGCAACTTTCTGGCCCCAAGTCAGCTGCCCTACCTCTGTACCACAGCGACCCCCAGCTAAGAACTTGTATCTCACATTTTCCAGCAAGCACAAAACTCTTCGGGTTTAATAGCACACATCTTTATTAGTACACACGTAGTATTTGTCCTTGTGCTTCATGTACACATATTGAGATGCAGTGGTTGTGCTTGTGACATCAGAAAAAAATGAATTTTCTGTCTAACCACTGTAAAAGAAACACTTCACATGTTTAAACATGTTCATGTGTCTGCATTTGTACAGATTGTTATTTACTTGATTGTGTCCAAGTGGACTATGGGATTAGTAGATGGCCTTTCTCCATATCCACTTAACTTTAAAAGGGGGGACAGGACAAAAGCCACCTGACAAGACAAGGACAAATCATCTTTAGATTAAGTGTTTTAAGAGCTTTGATAACCCCCACCTCCACCTGCACCTCAACTCATGTCATCACTGTGATTTAGGTGCTCTCTGTTCACTTCTAAAGGGTTTTGAATTTAAACAATGCCAACGGCAACATATATTAAATGAACAAAAGTGGAAAATCATGACGGCATCAGTCTTACACAGTCTCGTAAATATCAGTTCCCTTGCCACGCCAATGCACTATACTGATGTGTTGCTTTGACGATATGCCAGCTGATCTCTGAATGGATGCATTCGAGGTGGTCCGGTCAATCCTGTTGGAAGACATTTTAACCATAGTTGACTCTGCGGGGAAAGCCATGTCTTTGCTTTATGCAAATGTGTGCATATGAGAAGTAAAGGTTAGGTGAGTGGGTGATGAGTAATCTGTCCACGTAGATCTAGGAGGACAGTCTGACTGATGTAGATGGAGTGCCACGTTTTGGTGTCCTTGCCTGAGGAAAG